AGCAACCTTTTTCATGACCTGACGAATGTGTGTGTGTGTGTGTGTGTGTGTGTGTGTGTGTGTGTGTGTGTGTGTGTGTGTGTGTGTGTGTGTGTGTGTGTTTTTGTCCGTCTGTCTGTCTGTCTATTTGCACCATTTTCGAGATGCTCTCCGTGTCAGTGTCATCCCCTGGAATAATGAAATGCATTTTTTCTCCAACTGTAATAAGGATTGCCTTTGTTTCTGACGTACAGCAGATCCACACATGCATGTGTTGAGAAGATCAGAGTGCAGGAGGAGCTGGGGGGACAGTTTGGGGGCTCAGGAGGAGGCTGTTGAAGAGGGGGACACATTTTCAGCTGCAGGGGATCAAATTCTGTGGTTTTAACACAAGAACTAAAGTCCTGCTGTGACAATTTTAAATTCACAAATATTACACAAACATTAATCCATTAACATAGAGACTGCCTCCTTTTCTTTCTCTCTCTAAGGTTATTAAAATCATTTTTTTCCACTCTGTCTGACTTGGTCCAGTTAGTTCCAGCTCTCCAGTGAAGCTTTGAGATGTAAATATTAAAATCTGTGACGGCAGATGTTTTATGGTTGCAATTTTCCATCCACTTTAAATATTCTAGATATATTTTACACACATTTCACACACTGAAACACTGAACACTGTTCACTAGACTTTAAATTCTGTTGGTTTAAACGATGCTTACCTGCATGGCTGGAGTGTGTGAGTGTGTGATGACTTTCACACCAAAAGGTCAGTGTGGTTGAAGAGAACATTTAGCCAAATACAATTTTCTGCCACACAGAAGAAAAAACAAATCCACACCTGGAACACGCTGTCGGCAGCTTCCTCTGCAAAAGTGTCTCATTGTGTGCCTTGCTCGCAGGCACTGCAGCAGTGGAGGCCAGATGTTTAATGGCACCATTTTCATGCACATCCATAAAGTGTTTGCAGGTGCTGGGTGACAATTTTCTGCACGTAAAGAAGAAAAGACCGGAGGAAGCAGATCTGGAAACACTGACAATCAGACACTTAGAATAAAAGGAGGCAGCAGCTCGGTTGTTTTCAGTGCCGACATTAAACCATCCATTTCAGTCTTAGATAAGAGCTTTAGGGAAATGCTGTTGATGTGAATGTAAATGTGCTTGCTGAGTGCTGCTCATTCTGGATGCTTCACTTCGAATTTCCTAATTGCCACATGTACAGTACTATTTGAACATGAGGAGTGGAATATAACAGCATTTAGAGTTGGAACACAACTAAAAGTATTCTCATTATCTATAAATCTCTTTATTAGGCCTATTTGAATGGACTTTGGCTGTAAAATGTTAGAACTGAATGAAAAATACAATTTATAAGAGCCCGAGGTGACATATTGTCTGACCAACAGCCTCAGACCTAAAGATATTCAATGTGCAACTATATAAGACAGAGAACAGCTGATTTTTATTTTTTTTTTACATTTAAAAAAGCTTCATAAATGACTTATAGTTGATTAATTATCAAAACCGTTATATGATACATTTTCTTCCCACTGACTGATCTTTAAGCAAAACCATACAAAGTCAGGCACATTCACTGTCCCTCATTTTACCACTTACTTTAGAAATCATTTACTTTGCAGAATCGCAAGTTACAATCTGGACCTAATTTTTAAAAAAAAAATCATGACTTCAAAATAAATGAAAAAGTATTTCTTTATTGAACATTACAGAACAGGATGAGCAACATGAAGCTTCAATCAAACGATCACAGCTTTATCTATGCATAGGCTACAGACATTTCTGGGGATATTTCAGTACTGATAACGATGGTGATGATCGACAGTAAATCATTATGAGCCCTCTTTTCAGTTTTAGCATCATTCTGCTTTCAAACAATCTCTTGGTGTCACTTTATAGGCTGTTGGTTTCCCGGGTTGCTGTCTGACCCTCACGGTCTGCAGAAATGACACTTGATTATTTTTTTGAACGCGCTCTGAAAGTCTTTGTTGAAGTACGCGTAAATGATGGGGTTGAGTAAAGAGTTAGAGTAGCCCAGCCAGTTAATGACATCCTCCAGCCAGCGGGGCATGTAGCACGACTCCTGGCAAAAAGGCATGACCAGGGCGACGATAAAGAAGGGCAGCCAGCAGAGGATGAAGGTGCCCATGATGATGCCCAGAGTCTTCACCGTTTTGCGCTCCCGTGCCAGCGCGATCTTCTTCTTCGCCTCGGTCGCTTTCTCGTGCCTGCTCTCGAACAGCGGGACCGAGCTCGGGGTGTTGGGCAGCGGTAGGTTGCCCTTGGAGTTGCTGTGGACCTCTATGATCTCCAGAGACTCACCGTCCTCCGCGTGTTTCACTGCGCCGTTGACGCTGGGCAGTGGCCGGGGCTCCACGCTCCGTTTCCAGGTCTTGCCCTGCGCGTCTCCGGGAGTCTTTTTGTGGAACAGCGCGGGAGATAACGCCAAGCAAGAATCGGACACTTTCTTTTTCTCAGTTTTACGCACAGTCCTCCTGATCCGAAACCTGGCCGCTTTGAATATCCGCCCATATAAAACCAGCATCAGCGTCAGCGGGATGTAAAAAGCCCCGAAGGTTGAGTATATTGTGTACCAGGGGTCCTGCCTGATCTTACACTGCTTAGGGTTCGCCCTGTCCTCTGCCATGCTGCTGGGCTGGGAGCGCATGATTAACATCGGCGGCACCGAGATGGAGAATCCGACGAGCCAGGTGACACTGATGAGGACGGCGGCTCTCCTCGGCGTCCTCTTCCTCATGTAGTCTATGGGCTCTGTTATCGCCCAGTATCTGTCCAGAGCGATGGCGCACAGGTGCAGGATGGACGACGTGCAGCACAACACATCCAGAGAGATGAAGATGTCGCACGGGATCTGCCCAAGAGTCCACCGGTTTAGGACCTGGTAAAGAGCCGCCATGGGCAGCACCAGCACCGACACCATCAGGTCGGTGACAGCCAGAGAGCCGATCAGGTAGTTGGCCACATTCTGGAGAGACCGCTCCAAGGCGATGGCCGCAACCACGCAGGCGTTCCCAAATATTGCGCACAGGATGAGCGCGCCAAGCAGGAAGGATGTGACCACTTGGTAACTCAGCTTCACCTCCTCGTCTTCGGGTTTGGGGGTTTTGTTGGAAGGGCTGTCAAACTGAGACCAGCCTGTCGTGTTGTTCGTGCCCTCCATTGTTGGTAAACTCGTTTGGAGAGCCTCCGTTACTTGGTGGAGAGTCCGGTGCGCATCACACCGTGGCACCTTGTAGAGCGCATAGTGGACTGTTTGGTGCTCCAGAGAGGGTCTGAACTGTGAGTGTCGGCTGCTGACGGAGAATGATGCTGCGTATTTATACCAGTGATGGAAAATGCGTCATTTATCTGTGAGGATGTAACAGAGTCTGACTGCCTGTGTGTGTTTAGTCGGCAGCTGAGGCGGTGAAGATGTGGGAGTTATTAATAAATATTTACAAACCTGTAATATTTGACTTTATTTGTGTGCTCTTCGGGCTGCAAGTCAAATCAAGTTGCTGTGTTTTATTTATTTCTTTATTCGCTTCTTTCAGAATTTTAGACATTTCTTGAAACAGGTGGATTTTATCATTTCGGTGAGAAAATAAGTTAATCAGTTTGTGATGCAGCTTCTAAAATGTTCCTTTGTCTCATTTTATTGTTGTCATTGAACTGATCTGTATTGTACTGACATGTTTTAACAATTAAAGAATAAATTAAACCACACTGTAAATAAACCTTTATTTGCTTTTATAATAATAATAATAAATTATTATTGTTGTTATAATAATAATAATACATTATTATGATTGTTGTTGTTATAATAATAATAATAATTATTATTATTATTATTATTATTAAAATCATGGAACTATTGTGGCATTATTAGTTTTTTGCCCTGTGTAGATCGAGGTTAAAAACACCATAAATTAAGACACCACATATTATATTCTATACTACACAATATCTTTATTCTCTATTTTGTATGATCTTAATTACAGTAGACTTTATATTAAAAATGAGTGAGGCGGTATCCTCTCCTGTCTTCAGCACCACGATCAGCGCTCTGGGGCGGCCAGGTGTGACACTGCCACCTGGCGGCGGTCCGCTTTGGTAATCCAATGCAGCCTTTAGTCTTTTAAGTAACATGGAAAAGAAAAACAACCCCACAGACATACACAGACCGACCATTGTGTGAAATGATTTGACCTGTGTGGGGGCTGATGCTCAGTTTGATGTCTGTTTCTTCTTCAGCCCGGTCTCTATTAATATACTTCCTTTTTTAAACAGTAACAGTTACAGGTGTGTTTAATTATTATATCCATAGAAAGAGATTTAGAGACTGCCCATTTGTTGTTTAATAAATATGACACTTGTCAAAGGTGTTAAAGAACAATGACAAAAGTCATTATTTTCTGTTCATCCTGGCTGGAATAAGATGTTAGGCGACAGCAGAGCAAAGCATTTGCTGTTGGGCCCCTGTCGACCTCAGCACCTCCCAGTACCTCTCTCTGTTCATTGGTATTGTACCCTGTCGTCTCCAAGTTCACATTAAGAGCTTCCTGCCCAACAACCCAGGTCATTTTGTACTTTAATGGTGCAAATTCACTTACAAATGTGCAGTTATTCAATTTACGGGTTTCTTATTAACCTTTTAAAGTTCAATTGTCACTTTAACATCACAATTTTAGATTCATCAATGGATAGATTTTTACGCATTTGAGTAACTGATTAGAGATTTTATGCAAAAAAGGTATTTTGAAACGAAAAGTTGTACAAAATAATTAAAACATGACATCATATTTTGACCCCCTCCTAATTGACCTGAACTAAAAGAAGAAGTCTCGACTATCTTTATTTGACTGAATTATGACACTGAATGGAGTTCTCTTTCATTTACCTGGGGTTTCTCCTCTTCTCTGATCGCTTTTGCACTTTTGGCGAACGAGGGGAAGGAGCGTAGGAACTTTGGTCTGTTCGCCTTCCCGTAGTTGCTCCAGTTTTGTGACGTCACGGCCTGGCTTTAAGAGAACCGGCTGCTGTAACTTTCTTGTTTTCCTGCGCTGGTTTTCTTCCTTACCACGGCTCAGAAAGACTGCCAGCTGTCAGGTAGGCGACTGTATAGTATATAAATATCAGTGTGTCGAGTGTCGTTGTCTCAACAATGTTATTTTTGGTGAACACGCCAGCGGAGGGCGTGTTGTTGTGGTTAACAGAGCTAAGTTAGCTCCGGACGTTTGTTTTTATTCAGTGGTTGTTAGCTGTGCAGTGGACATGCTAAAACTACACAACTACAACATTAAACTGTAGTTCTGCTGTTTGTAGTTTGGACACAGTGAGAGGGGAAGTCCTCTCAACCTGCTGCTGACTGTACACCTGAACGTAACTCATTTATGTTCACTTCATGGCTGTTTATCAGGGAGTCAACAGGCTTTACAGCGCTGATTCCCTGTTGTTTAATGCGTCCGGTCTGGGGCTGCTTTCCATCGTTTGAGCCCCTTACTGCATACAAAGATATTTAGACAACAGTGTGTTTCCAACCTCGGTTAGTAACGTGATAGTGCCCCACTTGCATAATCCCAGTTTGGTGTAGAGCTTTGTTTCACTGGCCGAACCCGACTGGACCCAGGTTCGGACCCAAAACTGCTGCCTCTAGGTCGGGCTCAGGTCGGGCTCAGGTCGGGCTCGGACTAAATTAGACTTTTAATGGGTGCAACTGTAATTAATGAGTGAGATTGTTATTCAGTTTTGATAATAATTTGCAGTCTAATATTTACACATTGTCGTTTACTTTAGCTTGTAATAAACTTTAAATTATCTTATTTTTTTAAAATGGAAATTTGGGTTCGGGTTGAGGCCGGGCCCAACTATTCGACATTATTTTTCCCGGGTGGTCGAGCCTGATCATCCAACACCTTTTGAGATGCACTGGAACAGACAAACACCAGAGCCGCACCTTATGCCCCAGGTTGCAAAACCTGAACCCAGAGGAATGGGGATATATTAATACACACGGATCTAGAATAACCTGTTCAACAATCATACAGCTTTAATGTCCAGGTGTCCACATACTTTAAAAAAATAAATGATCATTTATCCGACAGGATTTTTTTCCTCCTCTGAATTCCAGAGAAGTTTATTCTAAAAATATCCACATCAGTATATGTAGTCCTACTAGGTACAGCATCAGGTTACCTCATATTTCAACAACTGTGTCACTGCAGTGACTGCTCCTATACCAGTCTACCAGAGGTCTTATGTAACTGAAGTCTATATTTCAACTTTTTTTTTTGTTTAGTGGAAACAGAATACAGTTTGTCTTGGCTACATTTACACTACGCTCAATGCAGAGGTGATACGTGTGTGCGGGAATTGACAAGTGGCGTACTTGTTGCTTTCTAGTGTACACTAATGCTACACACAGATAGTTTTTACTCTGATGGACACATGCAGTAAGTAGACATGTCTTTTAGATTAGCTTCGTCCCCTCTGATTTCAGACTGACCCGAACATTAAAGACGAAGAAGTCATTTTTGCCAGAGTGTATGCAAGTGCAGGTGTGTTTACGGTTGACTTTTGTTTACACTATAATCATCAACAGCTGGGCTGAAAAGTTCAAGAGCCCGAAGAGAGAGAACCATGCTCCGCTGCAGGAGGTGTCGGAAAGGCATCATAGACTCCACGTGTTTGTCAATGGTTGGTGAAAATGTTGTGTGTCTGCTTTAAGCAGTTTGGGTCTTAAGTTGCGTCTTGTGAAAACTCTCACTACTTGCATGTATGTAGTCTTCTCCACCCACTAAGCTGTTCTATACTTTGCTTGTGAGGAATTGTTGACTCTGTTTGTCATAGTTGTAGCTAGTGCTGACACAATGAGCTTGCCAATCACAAGCAAAAATGTCAACCATCGTGTGTTTCTAGCTTCTTAAATGTAATAGACTAAATGGTTAAAGGTCCAGTGTGTAGGATTCATGGGAATCTAGTGGTGTAGTACCATCATCTTCCAAGCATGAAAGAGAAACTATGGTGGCCACGAAATGTGCAAAAGACATGAATGCCCCTATCTAGAGTCAGTGTTTGCTCCGTCTGTGCTGGGCTATTGTAGAAACATGGTGGACTCTGTAAAAGAGGACCCACAGTGTCTGTTGATGACGTGTAATTCTAAGGTAACAAAAAACATAACCATTCCTATATAGTGATTATACAGTGATAAAAACATACCTATGAATATTATATTCCATTTCTGCCAATAGATCCTCCTAAATGTTACACCCTGGACCTTTCATCAGTTCAATCAAGAATGAAAATCGACATTAGTTGCAGCTCTAATCATAGCTATAAAGTTGCTGGGCGACGTTGGGGTTGGGATAACTCAAAGATAACCGCCTGTGTTTCAGTCATAAAAAAAGAAACTGGGTCTGATGGGAGCTGTCCTGGTTGATTGTGTGTCCTTTATGCTGAAGCAGGTTGAGGCCACAGATGAAAGCTCAGCTGCTGTTTGCAGTATTTGGCACGTGAATGTTGACACGTTGCCAGAGTGGATTTTGACCTCGGTTCACCAGGTAAGTGTGCCACCCCAGAAATGAAGTGTGTGTGTGTGTGTGCACTTGCTAAATGATGGTGGTCATTGCCATTAGGGGAAGAAAAAACTGAAAACAAATTAAGTTTTTTCTCATGTAGCTTTGGATACACTGTGATCATACAGTTACACTTTTTTGTTGTTGTTCAATTAAAAGTTTGTTTAAATTAAAAGGGTATACTAGTTGATGAAAATCAAGTTTACGCAATTTTTTAACTGTTTAAATAGTCTAATAATCAGCAGGCTGTCACATGTGATACACTGATACGTATTGATCTTGGTTTATTACCCAGGCCTATCATTTAAATCATGTATAAAGCAAAAATGTCCAGATCATTTCTGGTTTCATCTTCCCAACTGTGAGAATTTGCAGCTCTTTTTATATCCTAACTGTTTTAGGGTTTGGGACTGTGATTTATGTGTCTGTGCTGTCTGTCTAGGCCCAGTGGACTGTGGGAAAACTGAACTGCCAGAACTGCTCGGCTCGTTTGGGCGGCTTCAACTTCATTAACCGCAGCGAGTGTCCCTGTGGCCGGGACGCCACTGTCCACCTCAACAAAAGCCGCGTGGATCGGGACCACAAACACTACGTTCTCATAGTCCAGCCGAGGAGGACGAGGCCTAGGAAGGAACAGGCCGGTCTGCTGACAGGCTCTCAGAACAAAGAGCAGAGGCCTGAATTTAATAGGACTGTGCTGGACAGCTTACAGCTCAACTGTGCGGCTGTCATGTCCCACAGCAGCCCTGCGGAGGCCTCCAGTTCGCTGGCTGACAGTGAAAACACCCACTCATTTTCTTTCAGCCCCCTGTACTGCCTCTCTCACAGGAGACGCTGCAGTTTGGAAGACGATGCCACCATCAGGTCGTCTTGTTTCTGCCCCGCAGGCCCTACGGACAAGTCTGCTGTCCAGATGACGAGGGCGGGGACGGATGAGTCTGCACGGTCACCTGTGTCGTATGCCACAAGTCAGCAGTTTGACAGCGATGGTGAAGCCTCTGTCAACGCTGTGGCCTGCCATCCACAGGTTTCTGGACGGACGCGGTCACCTCCACATGAGCCGCTGCTTCAGACTGCGGAGGATGTCGAGTCTTCTCCAGAGACCACAGCTGTCCACGAGGAGGTTTCAGATTCAGCCCTGTTCCTCAGAGGGAGATCCATCTCTGACAGTGTAGCTGAGCAGGACGAGGAAGAGCTGGTATTTACAGTGAATTAAAAAAACAATCTGCATTCATTAGAACTGATTACATTATATTAATATTATTCTATTTCCCATTTGACCTATTGGTATTATTTCAGAGATTTGTTGACAATAAGAAAACCTTTGAATTTGGGCGTTCCAGTAGCTATACTATCACTGTCTCTATATGATATAGGCAAACAATTGGCAGACAAACATTGGATGAAGCCTTTTGCAACAGAACACATTTTACCTTGTGTCACTGGCGGGAATGTGTGTGCATATTCGCTCCAAGCAGCCAATGTACCAACTGGACGTTAGCTGTAAACTAGCAACAGATGCACAGACAGTCTGTAGGAGTGTTCCTGTGTGCGGCAGCTCAGACTGAGAACTTACCAGAAACTCCAGTTCTTTCTTTCATTTCTACTCTTCATTTTTCCTCTCGTCTCTCTGTTCATAAAGCCCCGGGATATGCGCAAATTATTCACTTAAGTTGAAACATTTTAAGCTCTCTAGATGAGTCTAATTGTGCTGCCTCGGGCCAATTAGCCTTTTTTCATAGACTTTGTATGCAATCCCCTTAAACCCTTAACCCTCGGGAAATGGTAAAGAGGGTGATGGTTGTGGTTAATTATTCTTCCTCATGCATTCTGTTGTTTCAGCTGACTGGGATTGAGTTTCTTGACGTGTGTGTGTGTGTGTGTGTGTGTGTGTGTGTGTCTGTGTCTGTGTCTGTGTCTGTGTCTGTGTCTGTGTGTGTGTGTGTTATGTTCTCAGCCTCAAGCCTTTATGGCCTCCCCAGCCTCAAACAGAATGAGCAAAAGAGAGAAGAACCGTCTGAAAGCTATTCGGAGGAAACAGAGGAGGAGAGAGCGATGGCTGCTCAGTCAGCAGGAGCAGGTGAGAGGGTTCACACTGACAATGTGGGTGTATGTATGCAGGGTCGAATTCAAAATCACTTCCGCAGAACAAAATGTAATTAGCTGTTCTTCTTACTTGTTAAATAAAAAAAAGCCTTAGAGGTTATTGGATATTTGATCTGTTAATAGAAAGTTTGATACACAAAGCATAGAAAGGCACTAAGGAAGCTGTTAATCAATATGTCATCTGTTAGAAATGTATTAACTGACTGAATATATTACGTTTCTTTTTACACATTCTAAATCGTTTGTAAAATATCTCCAATTCAAGAGAGGTTGCAAGGATTTGGTATGATATTGGATTATTTGATGTAGTCTAGAAAATCATCAGAGAAAAGTGAGATGAAAAGGTTTTTAGCCATCAGAGAAACAAACTTTAAAACTGAATCACAGCATTTTAAACATTACTGATGAATGCTGCTACATTAGTAATTGGCAATGCAGCTGGGAAAAAAGATTTGTTTAGTATGCTTGCACAATGAAGAACTATACTGACTTTTGGTTGGATGGAGGTTGTTGTTGAAGGGGTGTGTTTGTGTCCAGGCTGAGAGTGTGAGCGGTTCACTGTTGCACAGCGAGGAGGAAGAGGAGGACAGAGAGGGCCTTACCTGCGCCGTGTGTCTCGACGTCTACTTCAGCCCGTATAGCTGTCAGCCCTGCGGTCACGTCTTCTGTGAGCCGTGTCTCCGCTCGATCGCCAAGAACCGACCGACAAACGCACCCTGCCCCCTCTGCCGAACCCTTATCTCACACACCAACTTCCACAAAGGTTAGCGTCTTGCAAATACTGAAATATCTGATACCAGTCTCTGATACTATCTGTTTGATACTAGTGGTAATTGATTATTAAAGAGACATGAACCAAAAATGACAAACACTTGTTGGTTCCAGCTGCTTCAGTGTGAGGATTTTCTTGAATATCTTGGGGTTTCTGGAGCAAACCGCAATTTGAAGATATCACCTGGGGCTCTGGGATAGGTATATTTCATAGTTACCATCACCTCCTCTTGCCCAGTGTATGCTGGGATAGGCTACAGTCCCCCGGGGCCTCGCAAATGATAATGGATAAATAAAAAATATTCATTACGTTAATCATTAGTAGTAGCCCTGACCTGATAGTAATATCCTGCAGGACAATAATGAGGAATGATGGCATAAAGTGTGGAAGCCACGAGAGGCAAGTGAGAGGAAAAAAATCTATTTATCCATTTTCTAAGTTGGATCAAAATTTTATTCTCACCTGTTTTAATGACTTAAGAACAGGTGAACAAAATGGTTTTGTCAGGATAATCTTTTCAAGTTCCAAGTACTTTTTTTCTTTTTAAATTGTGAAACAGGTGGGAAAAAGTAAACTAATGTTACCTTTCCACCTGTTTCACAGAGGAAAAAAACATTAAGCAACATAATTATCCTGGTAAAACCTTTTTACCCAGCTGTTTTGTCCTAAACACAGGAGAGAGAACAATTCAGATTGGACTTAAAAAACAGATCTACAGATTTTTTTTCTCTCACTTGCCTCTCAGGGCTTCTGTAAAAATTGTCTTTCAACAATTCAAAAGTGACTGTACATACTGTTTCTCAATTCCTCTTCAGAGCTCAACCAAACAGCTAAGACCTTCTTCCCGAAAGTGTATTACGCCCGCAAGCAGAACTTCCAGAGTACTTCATGTGCAAAATGGCCTCTGCCAAGCTGTCCTAAACGCTTCCGTGCCTTCTGGGGTGAGAAAGTGTTTGTAATAGTTGCATTAGCATATTTTCTTTTCTTTTGTCTACAAAGTTGTTTCAGCTTCTGGCAGTGAAGTCTCTGGACTGTCTTGAGTGACCAGGATGCTGTTTCTGAAAAGACATGGTTCAGTTTACCTCTAGATGTTAGTAAAACAATATGAAAAACGTGTCTCTGTATGACTGACCTCCTTGTCAACCCATGTTGTGCCATGACCTTGTTTAATCAGAACGCAGACATTTTATTGCTTTTTCCCTACACTTTAGTGGCAATAATAAACTTTATCTTTACAGCAGTTGACTTTTCAGTCCTACAAACAGCTTTACAAACAATAAAACAGCAGTAATGCAAATCCAGAAGATAAACATGATTGCATAGTGAACATACTGTACATTGTATGGAAAATGGTGTTTTTAAAAATATACTACACACCCACGAACAACAATATCAAAGGAACATACAGTACTCTTCACTGAAAAAACATCTCATAAGTAATGTAGTCTCATATCTATGGAAGATGGGGGGTGCCAATATTAAAATGAAATTTGAATGGAAATGAAATTTCATTCTCTATTTGTGTATTTTATATATATATATATTGGAAATGCAGAATTAACTGCCAAAATTAAAAGTATAATTAAAACTGCAATGGACTTTTCATTTTTAAATTGTCTAGGGTTCCAATGGTACGAGATTTTCATGGTACAGTAACATCATGGATTCACAGCATATGGTACACAATTATTATCATCGGTTACAGTGACCCTTAAAGGCGTGAAAACAGAAGGGTTTAGTTTTCAGTCGAAACCAACACTTAATAATAACTTATAACTTATAACTAATAACTTATTTTTTAAAAACACTAATATGGTAGAATTCAATACTGTAGATAAGAACATGCACATGTAATAACCATACATTTTCATACATGGTATCCGTATACTGCTGCAACTGTTGTGCCGCCTTAACTGGAAAATTAAACTGCAAACTGAACTCTTGAATCTTTTTTATTCTGTACTATTTCCTAATTTTAGCTCGTTCAAGAAAATGAAATGGAATAGGTAATTTAATGACCATTTTAACTTTGCCAGCTCCTGGATACCATAGTATTCAGCCTGAAGGACTTATTTTGCCAAACGTCTCAAATAAATTACCACACAAATTCAAACTAGCATGAGGATAAAGGGTGTTAAATCACTTTACAGATACAGATGGTGATTTTATCTGTCTAACTTCAGGAGAGCAGAGACACGCAGCGATGGCAGGGAGACGCTGGCACTTTGCCCATGGAGGTTTCACGCTGGATGCTTTGGACCTCACTGACATGCGCGGCTGGCTCTTCGACATCGGCCTGGTCATCGTCTACATCCACTCAGTCAACTGGATCCTGGCTTTCCTGTTGCTCTGTTTCCTCATGTACTACTTCTTCTTTTGAGACTGAGAAGAACTCAAGAGTTTACAGTACTTTTTTCTTTCTTTACAAAGAGTGGTTAATTTGCGTTTTTTCTCGTTCCACCAGTTAGATTAAGTCACAAGTCAAACCTGTTATTTCAGTGGTAAAGTATCTTACAAATAGCAGAGGTGGTTGTGACATACATAGAAACAAGGAGCAGGAATCTGAACATTTGCACAAATCGGTTGAAAGTTTACAATAGGGGTTAACAACAAACTAACTTTAAAAACGTAATAATGATTTGAACAAAGCATGTGTTTTGCCTTTGTTAAGTACTCACAGTATGGTATACGTGCAATAACATACTCTGAGGTGTCCTGATACAGAAATAATGGGAAATGACTGAAATAGAGAAAAATTCCACTGCCTGAAGCAGAGCGGTGTTTCTTCTGTTAATTCTGTTACTGGATATCAGGAAAACCTCATCAGACATTCTGTTTGGTAGTGAAACCTTTGGTATTAACAGTATTCATCAGACAGAATAAAACAGAAGATTTATAGCACTCTTAGCAAATAGACTGGATGGGAAAGCAGTTTGCCTGGCTCCAGTTTAAAAGGTTCAAAAATATGGCTAGCAACAACTCTAAAGCTCACTAATGAACATACTGTTTACCTTGTGAGTGTTCATAGAGAAGTTATTTGCTGGAGCAATAGTACAGCCAGGCACAGTGACTCACTCACTTACTCACAAACATGTTCACCTCCCAAAATATTAAAGTATTTCTTTAATGTAGCACAAGCGGAAGGTTAGGAGACAAAGTGGCACTTTACTGAAAAACTCTGAAGAGTCAGCAATAAACGCATACAAAACCTTTAAAATGTAGTGTGAGAGTCATCAACACCTTGTAATCTAACTCAGTGGTACTGAAGGAACGACTAGATTAGACTTTGTGTTTTCTTGAGTGATTCTGAAATTCTGTAGATATAAGTTGATGATTTGAAGTCTGATGCATTTCAAAGAAAGTTTTACTTCTACGTGTACATGTTGTTTTATTCACAAAGTAGAGAAATGCTCAGGACTCAGCTAACAAGTAAAGATAGCAGCATTTATTAATTGATGTGAATGATGGATTGATGGATGGATTGATTGATTGAGGGGCTGTCAACAGCAGGAGCAGAAACAGACAGAAGATCAGATTCACAAATGGGTAAAATACCCATTTCAGTATGGTGCCTTTGCTTAGTCTGTGCCTTCTGTCTATAACAAGTAATATATGAGACTGGAATCAAGCTGCTTTATGTTTAGCTATCTGGCACAGACTGTATTGTATTCACTGTATTCATAGGAAGCTTTCAATGAATGCTAATTGTGTCTCTTGAAGTAAAAGACTTACAAAAGTCTGATAAAATATCCTCTGTGTTCAAATTGTGTAGAGTTAATTCTACTAATAATAAATTAGAAAGGCAGACGGTGCGTCATTTGAGCTGTGCGTCTGTGTGTATCGTTTTATTTGAACATATGGGCTCAGATTTCGCATTTGCTCTGTTTTAGTTGTATTCGTTTGGAAAAACGCATCTTTTTTCTCTGGTTTAATCTTTCAAACCTGTTTGTGTGCTTGAGAGCTCAGTACTCAAAGTAACAACAGATTAGGCCACAGTAATGAGTTAGTGTAAAAATAAAAAAGAAGAAAACTTTATAAAAGCCCTGCACTATGACCTGTTAACACTGTTCCTGTCAGTTGTAGTTTCAACAGGTTTAGTCGTGTGTGTGTGTGTGTGTGTGTGTGTGTGTGTGTGTGTGTGTGTGTGTGTGTGTGTGTGTGTGTGTGTGTGTGTGTGTGTGTGTGTGTGTGTGTGTGCGCGTCTTTTGAGTGTCAAATGAAAATTTCTGTTACTTTGTGACAGACAATAAAGTTATCTTATGAAGCTACATGAAGCCTGTTTTCAATACCAGTCACACTGTCTGGCGCAAATTAAAAAGGGACACCTCTCGTGTGATGGATCGGAGTTCATCTTCCCTCCAGAATACTTTATTTTATCCAACTGCTGTTGTTTTTCCTTTAGGGACAAACAACAGCATTTGGTAGAAAGGATGTTCTGTGTCAAGTAAAGCGATGGTCGTATGGTGCCAAGAGGGCCAAGGTGTTGTGGGTAGATGTAATGTTTGTGTCCCATCTGCTACCAACAGTAAACCTTGGTTTCTTCTAACCATGATGGCAAACTTTCCACAATTAACTGTATGAACAATGAATCAAATCACCCTTAGTTCTTACTTATCTATTGTAAGATTCATTTCAGCCCAGCCAGTTTCCAACAGCCGCGAGCAGCTTTATTCAGAAGAAAAGTTCTGATAGATAAACCTCTGATAGTGAATCAGAGTCAGTTTGTGCGGGTTGTGACATTCAAATCAATTTTACAGCCGCTTTTTTCCACAAAGGAACCTTATGGAGGAAAGTCTGTTTGGCTACTTTGTGGTCCACTTCCGGGAGGCTTCAGGTGTTTTTTGAAATAGTTGCAAAAGGCTACTGTAGAAACATGGCGGCCAGAGAGCGACCGCGGCTTCTGTAGAAAGAAACAGCTCCTTCTAAGTAACAAAAACACAATTCCTATATTAAGGTGACTACACACAAATGAAAACATGCCTATCAATCTTATATTCAGTCTCTTCCAATAGACCCTCCTCAGTGGTACACACCTTTTAAAAAGCACGAACCGAGGAGCCGGTTCTGTTCTCCTCCAGTAGGATAAACAGCCTTTAAAAAGCTGCTCGGCGGTCAGTTTCCACAGTGTAACGTTGGACAGTAAAATGGCTGTGTGCTGGGCCGCTGGTGCTCCTCTACAGTTCATTGTCAGTCGGTGGGTGACGACTTGTTTTGCTGTTGGCTCCCTCTGAATCCTCCTCACACGTGAGTGCGCGGCGGGCGGAAGACTGGCGGAGGAGCCTCCCTCTCTCGGCCTTCAGGAGGGGCTGAAGGTGACTCTCCTCTCGGCTGGGATGCAGAGGGAGCTGCCGGGGGTCCGTCCGGCCCGCTATACACGCTGCTGCTCCGGGAATAGCGACACACTCCCGCGGGGGCTCTAAAGCTGCGCCGGAGTGCCTCTGCTCCTTCTTTTACAGAGGACACAGCGGGGTTTAAGGAAAGAGGGCGGGTAGGGGAGGTGGGGGGGGGGTCCCTCTCTGTCTGTCTGCGTCTGGCTGGGCTCCGGTGGTGGGTGTGCATGCATGTGTTCTGCACCGTACGGGCGGAAAAAGCGCCCAAGATCTGCGGGGATCATTTTTCCCATCAGTAAAGTGGCGCAGTCGGAGCCGGAGCGCCGGGAGAGCACGGAGGGGGCCGTGGACGGCAGCAGGATGGTGAGTGCTCAAATAGCGACAGTAATCTCAAGTGATGGTTGGGAAGAGGTCCGTGTTTAACGTAGCTCTGCACCAAAGCACAGCTTCTTGAAGCGATCCGATCAGGTGGCGCAAAGGGGACAAAAGGACAGACCTGCTGGGAATCCTCTTAAAGCCTAGAGTAGGGTTTGAGGCTTGCCTTCCTTAGAAGGTGATCTCGGTTTGTTTGTTTCTTAACAAACAGTCCGTGGTTGTTTATTTTCTGCAGACTGTCCAGGAATTCAACACCCTCGTCGCGCTGTACCGGGAGCAGGTCATATCCGTCGGGGAGATCTCCGCCGACTGTCCGTCCCTGCGGGCTCAGATGCACCACACACGGTCCAAAGGATGCTCCATGGCCCGGGCTGCACACCAGGACCTCGCCGTCATCTCTGTCTCAGGGTGAGAAGGAAACAAAGAGAGATTGTGAAAAATAAAAGGAACAACATTTTTGTCTCCATCAGTTTCTATTAAACATTCACCAGCGCCTCTGTGTTTGTCTCCAAGCATCTTTAACCCTGATGTTCCCCTCATTAGACAAACTGTTGATTCACACTGTTAGACAGCGGTGTATAGATCTGCTGGTTCCAGCTGTTCCTTTGGTGGAATACCAGTGATCCAATGAATGCATTTTATTTAGGCTATGGCACAAAGTTACCAAGTGACTGAGGGTGAAAATATGAATAATTAATAAATAATGAGATAAGACATGAAAAGTATGAAATTAAAGAGCTGAATAAACTAAATAAAAAAAACAAAGTAAGATATAACAGTTCAAATGGGCACAGTTGAAAAGGAGTGCACTGTTAACTAGGGGTGGAAGAAAATATAGAACAATATTGTATCGATTCTCAAAAACACCTTGACTTTTTTTAACCCCTAACCACAGATAGCAGTGTTGTAAACATAAACTGAGGCCTTTGTTAACTTATTTAACTACAATTTGATTCATTTGGGGGTGTCTGTGTTCTGTGACAGTTTTCCTAAAATTGGATTCTTGCCGTTACACCGCCCTGCTGTTAGCTGTCCATGGAGCCACAATTACAACTCACATTTTGAAACGAACAATAAATACAGAGTATGTAAGGCTGTATGATAATCTAAAAAGGATGAAGTAATTAGTTAAAGTGGGTGTTGTTGCTGTTTGGTAGTGCAGTACGTTTCAAATAAACCCTGCTAGTTTTAGTTGTAAGTTCATTTGTGATGAAGTGAAAGAGAAATAGAAAAGCCCAGTCTGCAGCAGGTTTTGGAACTTGTTCTTGGTTTAAAGTGCACATTCCCCTTCTCTGTTTGTCTGATTGTATCTCCTTCTCTCTCTTTTCCTTCCTCCCCATCATCCTCTCCTCTCACCCCTCCTCCTCCTCCTCCTCCTCCTCCCTCCTCTGCTGCAGTCCAGAGGACGGAGAGATCCACCCAGAGATCTGTCGGCTCTTCATCCAGCTGCAGTGCTGCCTGGAGATGTTTATAACGGAGATGCTCAAATCCATGTGCCTGCTGGGGGTGCTGCAGCTGCACAGAAAAAGTACCACCACCAAAAACAAAACATAAAAACAGTTATTCAAGTGAAGGAAGTTTATGATATTGTACCTCTACGCTTTAAATGGGGATGGCAAGAAAAGCATGCATGCCGGTATCTTTATGCGTGAATCATACATCAATAATACATGTTCCATGATGATGAAGCTACACAAACATAGAAATGCATGGCAAAAATAGCATATTGTCAACATTTAAGAGACACCCTTTAAGTGTCCCCTGTGACACCACAGTGGTTAAGGGTTTGGTTAGGCTAGTTTAGAATATAAATCGACTAATAAATGATAATGTATTGTTATAGATTAAGATACCTAGCAGTATATAAAATGAGCTCAGCCACATCCATACAATCAAAATATAGTTAAAATTCAAAGTAGCCATAAAACCTCTAATTATATATGACATATGCACATTATTCAGGCTGTTGGACGATATCTGAGGAGCTGAGAGTTCATATCACACTCAGCAGAGGGCAGTAGAGAGCTGTTAGTGTGGTCTACATCAGCAGTTCCCAGCCTTTTGTCAAAGTAAACTAAAAGCCCCTGACTAAGTGACATATTTTATAGATATTTCATATTATGTTTAATGCTGTATAGCTGTACAGCGCAAGAAATAAACTGTACAATGAACCCAAACAGTGAACACAATAACTGCAGGAAATTTGTGAAAAATCAGCAATTTGAGTGAATGTAGAGCAGATTATTACAGGTTTTTTATTTTGAATCAGTTTTTCTGATATTTTAGGGAACTTTTTTGTGAGATGAGCGAAGCGCTGTTACATAGGACTATTGTGTATATTTTAAAAGATTTTTTTCACAAAATCAAGAAGGTCTTTGTTGTTGTCCTGCAGGAACAGACTCTGAGCCGAAGGTGGACTTCAGGATGGATGAAAGCTCGGACATCCCCATCCTTGAAGACCGATCCTCTTCCCCCATCGACTTTCTACAGGAGCAGTGGCTGGTGGGAACCGATATTGAAAATATCGAGAGGTACACAGACTGCCCCTGCTCCTTTTAATGCGGCGTAACCTGTGTTTTTATACCGTTTGGAATTCAGAATAATTATTCCGAACTGCAAATAATCTTCTGTTACTTTGTTTTCACAGAGATATGCGAGAGATGCGAAACCTACTCAGCAAACTCAGGGATACGATGCCATTGCCACTGAAAAACCAAGGTACAGCCACACTTCTTTAGCCACATCCACAACAACCAATGAAATGAAGCTAAAAATACTAAATTAAAATCAAATATTCACAAACGTGCTCCCAACTCACAGACATGTACAACCTGTGGTAGATACTGCTGCATATTCAGGGTTCATGAATGGAAATGTCAGGAAGCAGTGACCCTGGATGTCTCTTTGGGATAGAAACAGAGCAGGGTGACACGATGAGGCCTGATTACAAAGTGTTTGTTTGTTTCAGATGACAGCAGCTTGTTGAATCTGACTCCACACCCACTGGTCAGACAGAGGAAGAGACGCTTCCCCGGTCTCTGCTGCATGGTGTCCGGCTGAGAGCCTGAAGGCAGCACAGTCCACTCACAAAGGAACGGATATTTATTTTATCATATTTTGTGATGTATATTAGAAAAAATATTCACGAATCCTCTTTCATTTTAAACTTTATTTAGTGTTTTCCCGCCTATTATCTGAAATTGTAATCTTGTCTGATTCGGTCTCATTTGTTGATCGGGCTTGGATCGAGTTTGGTTGTTTTCAAATTATTTATTAAGACATTTTTCAAGTTGATGGTACATTATCTACGGGAGCGTATTGCATTCACTTGGAAAAAAAACAAATTCCATTTTTTCTGAGTAATTTATTTTTTGGTTTGTTTTTCTGACTCATTTTTTTTTCCTGTTTTTCGGAGTAATTCTTTTCCTGTTTTTCGGAGTAATTTTTTTTCTAAATTTTCGAGATACTTCGAACTCCCGCGAGAACCTCCAACCTGCAAGTGACTCCCATGGACCTATGGTGACTCCTGCCCGCACATACATACCCCATCTTCAACTATCTACCATACCGGGTCAATTTTGCTATTTGTATATTGCTATGTCTAGCAGATCGGAATGGGCTTTTCTTCTGAACAACCGCAAAGTCCTCAAGTGCTGCGTAGAGTCGACAAACTAATGATAATACCATCTATATGACTTAAACACAGGACTATCTCCCAGTGTCTGAAACCCAGATCAAAGTAAAACTTGATTGAACTAAACAAGCCAGTTATGTTTGTTTCTGTTAAATCAAGCTCTCAATAAAGGAATTAATGCGTCTATTGTTTCAAATGCTCTCTAAACTCAGAAAAAAAAATTGTCCTAAAAACAGAAAGAAAAAGATTATTCAGAAAATCAGAAAAAAATTACCCCGAAAAACCAACCATAAAAATAAATTACTCTGAAAAACAGGAGAAAAAAACCCCCCAAAAAAAAAAAAAATCAATGTCCTGTGGAAAGAGAGAAATAGTGAAGCAAACAGTAATGGATAAAAGAAAAGAAAACAAGGCAAAAATATAGAGCTGGCTAGACAGGTCTTAAATTTGTCCCTTCGGTTCTGCTGGGTCAGACCTTAAAGACACAGGGACGGGCTGGGTTCGTGTTTCAGTTGCAGAGCTCTGTTTTGCTGGCTGGTTCTTTTTAAAGTGAGGCTTATTGACATTCTCTTTCTTTTTTTCTTCTGAATTCCGCAATTTCCCTCTTTAACTTTCTGTTTTGTGCCATTTTATATAATGAAAGAGTATAAAATGTACATATTCAGGCTATGCACTGGCATTTTGAGTTTTCAGCTGTCTCACTGTGCTTGTGTCACACCTCCATGTTTGAATGTGTCGCAGTGTGAGATGTTTTAGTCCCAACAACCTCCTGATGTATTTCATCATTCAGTAGAGACTCTTGCCAGGTGAGTCTCTACCTGGCTGTGTGGTGTGACACCTCGTAGACAAAGCAATTCATCTACACTGTTAACGGTGCATGTACTTAATTCGCCCTTCCAAAGTCCCGTCCCTTTTGGAACCAAAGTCACATTCCTCCTTTCCTGTAATTAGTTATGCTACGTGCTAGGCATGTCTGTGTTGAAACCACAACCACATTTTGAAGATGGTTACAAGATACAGTGTATAGTCACATCATAAGATAACTAATATTGGCCAAGCGCTGGCTAACTAGCTAGTTGCTGGCTAATTAGCTTCCATTTTGCTATCATTAGTTATCAGATGTAACTAGCTAGCTACTGAAACATAGATTAGCTAGCTGGTTAGCTAGTTTCTTGCTCTGTAGCAAAACACTTGCTAACTAACCACTTAACTGGCCAGCTAATGATTGATGTACATTAGAAAGCTAGTTAGCTAGCATTTTGCTAACATTAGCTAACCTAAGATGTGACTATATACTGTATAAGTCACCTTTACCATTAGTTTTAATCATCTTCAAAATGTGGTTGTCTTTTCAACATAGATTAGCCTAGCACGTAGCATATCTAAGTACAGGAAAGGAAGAAGTTGACCTGTTCTGAACAACGTTTGCTCAACTGTTATTGGAGCCCAGAGCAAAAAGGGGTGGGACTTATGAAGGGTCTATTGGCCCATATAATTACGTAATTTCTTTTTCTGTACAAAAAAAGTATTTTGAATTTATTCAACAGTGCGTGTGTAAAAGTAAACTTTATGCCAGATTAGAAAAGCTGTTACAAAGCTTTGCTAAAACTTGCCTTTTAGACATCTTAAGCAGATTGAGGGAGGATGATTTGTAATAATTTATGTGACCCAGCAACAATAAAAGGTAAAAACTAGTGACCAAAACGTTAGTCCATAGCAGGGAATCTGGAAAACTATTGGCTATATCTGGTATATACTATACAGTGTTTGCATGAAATTTGTAGGGATAGTCATAGTCCCCAGAGGATGAACGCTTATAACTTCACTCACATTAGCATAATCATCAGCCATAAACTACCATTTGTACCCAGAAAATACCAAAACATTAATATGAAATGTATCTAAAAATATTTCTCTGTGTGTCCGCAGGGTCTTAAAAAGTCTTAAAGCTGCAGTAGGTAACTTTTATATAAATTACTTTTTGTCAAATGCTATTAGAAGATGATTTTTTTCTTTTTTACAAATTATATGTGATAATGTCAAAATAGAGTAAAAGCTTCAGCTAATATGACAAAAAGTAAATTTTATAAAAGCTACAGCTTTAAAAATCATTCCAACTGGTCTTAAGTTAATATTATAAAGTTTCATTTTTCAGTCTATATTTTAAATGTGTTTCGGGGAATTTTTTTTAATAGTTTTGCTCTCACAGCTACAACATGAAAATGAAATAAAACCAATACCAGTTTTTCTTAACATCTTTCATACCTTTTTTAAGTCAGTGTGGACATAAAATAGGTCCTTAAATTGCATTTATAAAGTCCAAGTTGGAACCTGCAGAAACCCTGTTCCCTGTGACTTTATTAGTATAATAAGAAGATTTATTTTCCTGTAAAATTCCTGATATTACGGTTGCTCTAATGCTCCTTTATAAAGGATAGCTACTTCATCAGTGTTGTTAATTTCCCCGACACTTTAATATTTTCAGTTGTAATGACCATTTCAGGCTCTAGGGTAAACTAGCAGGGCTTTTAGTCTTGTTTTGTATGAATGTGCAGCGTGTCATTAGCAGTCTTCCCTGAAAAATATTTTGTTTTACTTTCAGCTTCAGTTTCCCATCACAAGGGCTTTGCAGATGCTCCGCATATGGAAACAGAGGAATTGAAAAACCCACACAAATTAAAAACTCAAATTGAAATCCACTCATAAAGTCTTAATCTGAAGAATTCTACTACAGCCATTTTCCCATCGACATGTCAGTGCAATGTAATGTGTAAATTTGTGTTTGTGAACTTTTTTTTAATTATTTAATGTAATCTAAAGTGTTGATGTCTAAATTGCAAAATTCTTTGTTTTGGCATGTATATGACTAAGAGTAGGCCATGTGTAGTTAGTGTGTCCTGCAATGTAGAGAACCCACAGCTAAACCAATGTACAGCTTAGGACATTTTATAACGTGAATAAAGTTTTGTATACAAATAAGATGATATTCCTTTTTTTATCTTAGAGGAATAGTTCAACATTTACAGTAATTTGCTTAAGAGGAGAGGATAAATTTTACTCTATAAGTATGTAACATGGCCCCTACAAGGAACATAATTTTGTGTTGATTCTGGCGCCCCCTGTGGATGGATGATAGGGTTTCCTTTGTTTCGTTTCATTGATTTCAAGCGGAATCCATCCGAATCCGATCTGGTTGCAGGCCTTAAAAATAACTACAGAAATAGCCAGTGTTTTTACTGATGGCTTTGTTTGTTTATGTAGGTCATATAGAGGGATCAGTATTAATGGTTTCATAACCAGTTAAAAACTCCTTGTAGTACATAAAAACACAAAATAGAAAAACATAAAAAATGATGTTCTTTTTAAATAATTATGTTCAACAAATGTACTACATTGAGTTAGGGGAATTTGCTTTTCCTCCACTATCAAAGGTATTTTTTCCTGAATAAGAAAAGCAACAAACCCAAAAATGGCACCAAAAACATAACCGACTTTGGCAGAGGTAATACACGTAATATATGAAAATAAGTTCTAGTTATTCACTTAGCAGTTCTTCACACATTTCTCTATATACACAGTTTTACACATTGGCTGAAATCACTTTTGTGCCTTTTACAACACGGAGCAGTTGCAATGGTGTTGCAAAAGTTTTCTCCCTCTCAGTATCTCCAACTGTCAAGTCTCAAACACAAAACATCTGGTTTACGTCTCTGCAGCCAGGAATGTCCAGAGCTTTACTTCCCGTAACAATGAGGGACAAGAGGGTTATGTAAGAACCTTATGTGTTTTTCTTTTCTGTGTTTTAGGATTATTAAGAAAGCATAATTTTTAGTTTTGAGATTGGGCAATACAAGTTTAAACCTCCCCCAAAACAACTGGATTCCCATGATAAATAAAACAGGGGGAGGTTTTATATTGCTGCTGGCCCCACAGACACAAACCAGTCAGATTCAGCTCTGCCTGCAGTGCAGAGTCAACTTAGTGAGAAGACTTCTTTTGTCCAAATATACAGCCAAACACGGGAGCGAAAATAAAGCATATGCTCTAATATCTGCTGAAGAGGACGCCAGTATAAGCGGTGAGTCAGATTTTGCTTTCTTAAAACATGTTGACTGAACTGAATTAAATATTGCAGGAATAAAAACTGAATTAACTTTTTTCATTTAATATTCAAACCTGCACAATGATGTTTTGATGCTTTGTATAATTTTAAAAGTGAAATCACTCTATTTATGAAATGTGCTATGTCCTACCAAAACTTACCCTGCCTGACTAAAAGACATTTTATGTGCATCAAAAATATATTTAGTCTCAATGTAAAGTGTGTAGTAGCTATTGCATAAAAACATTTGGAAAAGCTGCCCTGAGTAGAGTACAGCTAATGGATATCTCATAAATATTGTTTGATTTTATAGTGCTAATGCAAAATACAATAAATGATGTGACTAAATGACTTAATGATGGTCTGGTCATCAAATTATTTTCAGAGGAGGTGAAACCAGTTTGAACTGCCCTCATGGCTCCTTCCAGCCGCTTGGTCCTGCTTCTACAGCTCCTTGGCTACATATCAGCTGGTCTGGCCTGTTACTGTGAACGGTTCTCCTGGGGACCCTGGTCTGCCTGCTCCAGGACCTGCAACCACGGTACACAGTACAAGGACAGGTGAGATAGCACTGATACAAGTCAGACATAGAGTATGACATTTTCATTCTTACGTATTTCAAAAACTGAAACTGCTGTGAAAGAAGAGCCAAAAAGATTGACCAAGATCTGTTTCCTCTGCTGTTGTTGTGAAATACAAATGCCTAATGCAGACGAGGCCAACAGCTGCTCTAAGTAAAATTAACTTTCATACTTTTTCGACAGGATATTTCATAAAGATGAATATTTCTGGCAGAAAAGCTGTGAAAATCTGTGTCCGAAACGAGAATGGAGAGCATGTAACGAGCAGAGCTGTCCAATCAACTGCCTGCTGGCAGAGTTTGGGCCTTGGTCTGACTGCTCACCCTGCGCCAAGAAACAGGCAAGAAACACAAATCACACTGCAAAAACCTGGCATATTCTTATGCTGTGTCTGTAAGTGTATTTAGATTGGAAAAGAGACTAAATGAAATATACATACAGCAGTTATTTGCTGTTGATGGACACAACTGTGCAGTGCACACATAGAGGAGCTGTTCACAGCAAGGGAATATTATTAGATAAAATCATTTGCAGATGGTGCTCAACAGCTCCAGGAATATCTTACCTAAATATTTAATCTTTCCACTAATCTACCATTTTCCAGCTGTAGATTATTTAGCTTTATTTTTCACTTTGATGAATGTTTATTGATCATGTATTGTGGAATTTTCAGTTGGTACAGAATTGTAGAGTACATTGATCTCTTGAATACTTACTGCAAAAATGTTAAGACTGTGTGGATATATTGAGAAAAGGGTTAGGGTTACAGGAATACGATTCTTGATTTAATTTGCAGTCATTCTTACCGGTATTGGTAAATTTAATGATACAGAAACAACCAGGTGTCCAGACACTTTAGAACTGGACCCTCTCTGTCTCTGACTTAAACGACCAGTGTGTAGGATTGAGTGGCATCAAGAGATGAAGTTGCAGATTGCGACCAACTGAATACGGCTCACCTTCCACGTGTGTAAGAGAAACTACAGTGGCTGTGAAAACCCTGGTGTCCCCATGTTTGAAAAAAACACTGCAAAAGTGTCCTCTTGGATGCCCGTGTGCTAGATAAAACATGACTGTGGACAAAATGTAATAGGGTGCTAATCCTAACCTTGACTAAGCTGTTCCCCCATAAATGCATCACAACTTTCTGCGCCCCTTCAAACAGTCCGCCATTGTGTAGAAACATGGCGGTTCAAAATGGCAGACTACTTAGAAGAGGACCCACTCCCTCTGTAGATAAAAACAGCTCATTCTGAGGTAACAAAAACAAAGCGATTCTTATTTTCAGGTGATTATACACTAATGAAAACATAGCTATGAATATTATATTCCATTTCTGCCAACAGATCCTAAATGTTCCACACTGGACCTTTAATTCGATACAACTTTACTGAAATGTAAATATACATAAAAAAGAGTAAATAAATAGTACACTGATTTTAAAGTAGTGATATACAGTACATGGAAAGACAAAAGTAGTTACTGCTACCAAGGGCCATAGAACTTTAGAAATACTGAGGTCATAGACCAGATTCCTCCAGAGTAGTTTTCTAACTGCTAAATTTTTATAGCTGCCTGTTTCAATTGATGATCACTAAGTTAGTGTTCAGTGTTTTTCTTAAATAAATCAAAATCTCCCTCACATGTCGTTATCCCAGTTGCGGACGAGGTCTGTCCAGAGGCCGTCCCAGTTTGGTGGATCAGCCTGCAGTGAGGAGCTGACAGAGGAGAGGATCTGTTTCCCCTCCACTGAGTGCAAGTTACTACCCATCGACTGCAAAGACAACTTCAAGTGTGATAACGGTAATTAGCGATTTTACATAACTTATAGAATAACTATGCAATCCTCTTAATACTGTTTTATTTCAGACCAACTTCTTTAATTGCTGATCTGCTGTCACAACACAAACACAAACATTCCAACATCCTTTCTGCTGCAGGACGCTGCATCAACTCGGTGTTAACATGCAACAGACAGAACGACTGTGGAGATAACTCTGACGAGAGAAACTGTGTCGAGAGAGACTTGAAAACTGTGTGTCCAGCCGAGAAGAGAGTGGCCCCTGGGGCTGATCTGCTGCAAAATGGGTAAGTTAAAGGTCAAAAGGTCACTGCTGACTTTACAACGTCGGCCCACTACTCCCTGCTGTGTTCAATAAATTACATTCTTTTCTGCCAAGTGCTCTGCTGTCATTTCATTTCTATTAGTTTGTCTTGTCACTGCTGCAAAGACAAAAATACAGTATATTTGTACTTATTAGAGCCTGAAGCCAAACACTTAAAAAACAATAAAAATCTATATATCTTCCAAATTTTGTTTACAATATAAATATTTTGTGTTAAAGATATGTTTCATATCAGTCAGTGGTTTGCTGATTCCATTGTGCTGCCATGAAAATTTTACTTGAAATGAAACTTTTTTTCGGCTCTTGAGCTGTTACAGGTGAACAATTTCCTTATTTCTTTAAGATTGTAAATTCTGAATGGTAAACATCACTTAATTTAGATAATTTAAATATTATTATAAATATAAAATTATAAATATACACACATAAAACAAACAATATTAAACATGAATATCTTATGTATTCAATTCAAAAGTATCGCTCCTGTTTACTGCTCAACAATTGATCCCATCTAATATCAGTCTGTAGATGAATCTTTGGGCTTTAGTGCCTACTTTAAAGATAATTCAATGAGATTTGACTTTTCACTGATGTGTGTTTGAAGGTACGATGCCATGGCAGAGGAGTCTAGGGGAGAGGTACTGGACAACATGTTTATGGGGGAAATTTGCAACTTGAGGAGGCCTCAGAGTACGCTGGTCTACCACCGAGTCCCTCACAACTTTGAGTCATTCAACATTACGGTAGTATTATTAATATTTAATTGTACAGCCCTTCTGTGACGCTAGCCCAGTTCCAGACTTCCAGATTGCTCACTGACAGCTGTTTCCGCAGATGGAGAATCGAGTGACCAATCAGAGCTTTGTAGGCAGGATTAAAATTGGGGATGTCATCTTTGTGGGTAAAAGTCAGAGTAATAGTGACAGAAGAATGGCATTTCACTCATGTTATCCTGGCTCCTCAAGGGTAACGCACGCTATCAGAGCCAGATGATGACAAAAAGGTAGACAACCCAAGTCAGAATACTGACACACTAGAAAAGCTCCTCAGATACAAATGGCTATAACTATGACCGTCATTAACACACACACACTGAAAATTATTTTTTTTCCTTTAAATTGATTTGTGTTATGAACATCAGAAAAATCTCCTAGTATCTTTTATTTACTTATTAAGTGTAATAAGCTACTTAGATAGCGTGAAAAGGGACTTTTTCTTTCATTCCAAGGACTGAAAATAACAACTCTTATACTAGCATCTTTGATTTTAACATAGTAATTTGGAAAATGTCCATCAGTGGTTTACAGAGAATCTTTTTTCAGCTTTAGCTTTACCACCACAGATAAATACTTCAGGAAAAGTACAGTTATTGTTCTTGTTGTTATTGATTTTAAATTACAGATGTGGTTGTGGTTTTAAAGGTTGGAGTGGTGGAGGACTTCAGCTACAGGCCCCAGCCGCTGCACACTGAGATTGTCGACCCCAGGGTAAAGGACCCTGTGGTCACTTCATCTGGAAGCGTCAATGCCAACAGCCTCTTCTTCTTCCCTGTGTTTTTCTTCTCTGGCTCATCTAGGACGCAATTCATGTCTAACACCGAGGCTTTTAAAGCATCAAAGAAAATGGTGCGTAACACGTACACACATTTGTAGGGACATAACATAACATAAAGACGTGATGGCCAGGCAAAATGTCCCCATTTTTCAAAGAATGTTCCACTCTCAAGTTCTGAAACATGGTCCCCACAAGGTAGAAAGGCAACACACACACATCCATGTATCTGTTTACATCGCTGGTTGCAGCTATACTTTAATTAATGAATTAATCTTTTAATTTTAAAACTTTTTAGTCATTTTCTATATTTCCTTTTATAGGACTCCACGTTCTTCCGGGTGCACCAGCTTCTGCCTGTGTCCAAGTTTAAGTTGAAGGACCCGGAGGACCTTGTCCTGTCACTGCCTTTCCTCCAGTTCCTTCACGCTCTTCCTCTCGAGTACAACTACGCCCTCTACAGGGACATCTTCAAGCGCTTTGGGACGCACTACTACAGCTCAGGCAGACTGGGAGGCCACTATGACCTGCTGTACCAGTACAACCGAGAGGAAATCAAAAGTTCAGGTACAACAGCAGGTCAGGTGTTCAGAATGACACCCTGGGCTGCAGTGGTAACCCAGAAGTCTATAGACAAACTGAGATCAAGTGTAGGGTTCAGTATAAGTATACTTAAAAGAATAGGTTGGATGATGTATTGTCCAACTACACCCAAAAAAGGCAGAAGTGTTTATTTACTGAATGCCCATATTGCTCCTCACTACCTCCCTTACCTCTTTCCAAGAATTATGTGTCTTTAACAACTTGACAAAATGCAGGTCATTCTGGTTGAACATGGCTACAACACAATGCAGTATCATCCAGCAAGACACTGCTATGCCCAATCAAATATGTGCGAGTGCACATTGCTAGTAGATTACATCATGTTACTGTTTAGCTTGTGATCTAAACTTCTGGATGTAGGAATGAGTCCTAAAACCCTGAAATGAGTTAACGTTTTTGCACCTCCGGTTTCTTTCCCTCGAAGTCTAGCTGGTTATATCAGAAGCGCATTTCTCTGTGCTGTTAACAAGCAATTCTGCTCATTTCTTATCACACATAATGCAGATCTTTAGAATAACCTCATGAATTATGTGTTCTTGGATAAGTCCTTCCTTAGGAAGGAATGGATAACTGGATACGACATGGAGGCCAGAACCAGTTCTAGTTGGCAATTGCCTCCACAAATTAATTCCTGACCTCGCTGGGCATTATCCCTTACATCATGTTCTGATTTCAGTTCCCTTGTTTCTGCATTGTGGTGCTCTACACTCTCCCTCTCCAACAGATGAAACAGTAGAGCATGTCAAAGGCTGCCTAAATCGAGAGACCACCTGGACCATCATCCTCTACACCGAACACAGCAGAGTATCTCGATGCGATGACAACAAGATGACTAAGAAATATGAAGGTTTTTACCAAAATGTGCCAGGAAGCACACATTATTTATTACTACTCTGCTATTCATGGCTTACTCACTATGAAAAGACCACTGATCTTATTATCTCTATGATCTTTCCTTCATTCATTCCTTTTGTCCAGGCTCGTTCATTCAGGCAGCAGAAAAGTCTTTCTCTTTGGTCAAAGGAGGTCGAACCAGAGAGGCAGCAGCTTTGGCCTGGGAGAGGCAGGGCTCAGCTCCGGACCAAACAACCTTCAAGAACTGGGCCAAGTCTGTACTTGACAATCCTGCTATAGTCGAGAGCAAGGTTAAAAAAGGACCACTTAAATGTCTTAAAGGTAGGGTCAGTCGATCTGGAGAAAGATAGCTGATTGTTGAATCTCATTCCCAGGTTGTCAAATACCTGTGCTTTGCTTTGGGTTATGGTAAACAGGAAACAAACAAAGTGGCTTGGAGCGAGCCACACAACCCAACAGATTGTGGTTATATTCAGAGTTTGTCAGATACCGAAGCCTTGGGTTGATGACCTGGAAATATGACTCAGCAATTAACTATTCTCCAGAATGACTGACCCCACCTTTGAATCCAGCCGAAAATTCAAGAAGAACAACTATAAAAAAACAAAGTTATATGTCTACAAAAAGCAGATGTTGCATTCATGTATATGTGTGTTTATCCAGGGGCTTTCCATCATAGATCTGGTTCGGGGGATCCCATGTGCTGTCACAAAGAGGAGACACCTGAGGAAGGCCCTGCTGCAATACTCAGATGAGTTTGATGCCTGCAAGTGTGCTCCCTGCCCCAACAACGCCAGACAAATTCTCTCTGGCACAGAGTGCAAGTGTGTTTGCCAAACCGGAACATTTGGCACTAACTGTGAACAACGAGCTCCTGACTACACTTCAGGTACAGCAGGACCGCTGCAAAATAGAGTATACTTGGCGTTAAAGTTAAGTTGTGAGGACACTGTTGCTGAAGTGAGAAGAGGATAGATAACAAGAGTAGTGTGTTGCAGTGGAAGTATTGTTCCTCATTCTAAATTCAGATTACCTCTGTAAGTCTTCTAGATAATTTAGCAATACCGAATTATTCAAACCCACTCCTGAAGGCAACATGAATGTCAATGCATGGCAATCATTCTAAAAGTTTTGTAACATTTCACTCAAGGCCAAAAATATCAACTTCATGATGGTGATTGAGGAGAATGTAGAGGATCACCAAAGTCAAATTCATCCTCTGGCAACCATAAATGTCTGCACAAACTTTAATGGCAAACCACTGAATAGTTGTAAAGACATTTCACTCTGTACCATTTAGAAACCAATCAAACAGACCTACATTGTCATCATGTTTCCATCCCACCACCATGACTTAAAGGTTCAAGCTTTTGGCCATTGATGGAAGTGCGTGCAATAGAATTTTAAGCTTTGCGATTTAATCATTCTTCACGAATTTTACCCTGGGAGTTATAGTTGACTTTCTCTACGACTTCTATGAGCATAATGTGGTTGCTCATCTTTTGTACTGATGAGTCAACCATAAGAGTTTCATGTCCATTCAAGCCTTAAAGTGCTTCAGCCGTCACCAATACTATCTATAAAGGAAAGGAACAGGACTTTCACTGCAGGAACAAGGGGTGCCTGAAATAACTCTAATGAAAAAAATGGCATTAGGAACTGGAAATCAGTTTACCATTTACCACTGGCAGTGTTGCTTTCTTATTGTGTGCACCAGCTTTGGCACATTCTCTGTGGATTAGTTTCTACATACCACCCATCCACACCTGCATAAGCACTTTAGTTTTGGCCTGTGTTGGAAATATATTTTTTCCGTCCCTATGTTTTTCCTACACTTCCCATGACCTTTCTTCAAGTATCTCCCTCAGGATAAAAGTCATATTCTTAGCTCCACTACTGGTGGAAATATTCTAAAACTCGCAGATTCCTCTGTCCTCTGATCCAACACTATTGTGGGATTTGAAGAACGCTGAAGCCTGTAGGGGCTGCCAGAAGTACTTTTACACTTTAAGGCATAGACAGAATGCCACACTGTAATGGCCTGCATACTGATTCTAACCAGGATTGATTATGTTCACAACACAAATGTGGTTTGGTGTCTGTTCAAATACATAGACAAAGTGGATGGTTACTGGAGCTGCTGGGGCCCATGGAGTCACTGTGCAATCACAATGAAGAGACATCGAACCAGGCAGTGTAATAATCCTGCCCCCCTCAGAGGAGGCGAACCCTGCAAGGGCCCTGCCAGACATGAGGAACAGTGTCACATCTCCATCTTTGAAAGGTATGTAAGGTTGCTTTAGACATCTTGACACTTGGTACATGGTACTGGTGAAAATCATTCTGATTAGAGATTCCCTCTTAACTGGACGCTAAACAAACTGATCCGATAAGATGTTACTGGATAAGGACCAGTGTGGATTTAGTTGCATCTTGTGGTGAAGTTGCAGATTACCAACCAACTGAATACCGCTCACCTTAGTGTGTAGGGATACTTAGGTCACTGCCAATGGAGCCACTGTTTTGTCGTCCATTCTGGGCTACTGTAGAAACATGGTGGACCCTGTAGAAGAGGACCCGCTCCCTCTGTAGATAAAAAAAGCTCAGTCTAAGGTACCAAAAACACAACTATTCTTATATTCAGGTGATTATACACTAATGGAAACATACCTATTTATATTATATTCCATTTCTGCCAATATATCCTCCTAAATGTTACAGACTGGACCTTTAATCAGAATATAACTTTTGTGTCATGCGTTGTGTCAGATCTCGGAAATATAACAAAGACAAACTGGTTCTGCCTCACTCACATCACTTAATGTTACTGCTAATGTGAGGCTATTTTATTGAGTTGTTAGTGACATTTTCTGAGTACATTTAAGTTCTACTTCTCTGATAAGCAGTCACGCAGTGGAAATGAAATGTAAAGGGCCAATAATTTGGAAGGTAAAAATAGAAGGAGTGGATTTATAATGTCATTAACAATCTTTTTTTAATGGTCTACTGTGTAACATTTAAGATGCTCTATTGTCAGAAATGAAATATTATATTCATAGGTATGTTTTCATAATTAGAATTGTTGTATTTTCGTTACCTTAGAATGAGCTGTTTTTATATACACGTGGGTTGCCTTCCATGGAGTCCACCATGTTAGTTGCCCTGCTGCTTATATAGTAATTTCAACTCAAATTTATTAAATGTCAAGGATGTGTTCTGTCTTGGTACAGTAACTTTGGATTTAGTGTGTGTTCTGGTTCATGATTACGTGTCCAGACAGGAGACCTGTGACAATGATAACGACTTCACTGTGGGCTGGAGGGACGAGCTGCCTCCTGGTGTGCAGGGCTGTCTGAGGCCACAGAATCCCGCCAACAGCGTCCTCAGGGTAAACACTAACTCTCCAGCCTGCAGTTAGTGATTGAAATGTATGAGAGAGAGAGAGACAGAGAGAGAGAGAAAGTTCACAGCTTATTGCTCTGATGGAAGTGTCCACTAACAAAAAGCCAAAATAGAGAAAACTCACTTCTCTAGTCTTTTTTATGTGGGAACTCGTTACTGCCAGGAAAATAAATATAGGCTATCCATGAAAATCTAAGAATGAAAAAAGTATAAATATTCATGACTATCTCTTTATAGGTAATACTTTACTCTTCTCTCACGTTCACTCAACTCAGAACATTTAATAAAGGCCTTTTTGTTTTAAAGCATACCAATAATGTATTTGAGTGTTTTGACATTGAAACCCATTTGTACACTTTCTTGCAAGTGCTACAAAAAAAATAAAAAATTACAGAAGATTACAGAACCTGCTCTGTAGGCACCTCGTTGGCTATTTGCGGGCTACCAGGTGTCCTTGGGCTCCATGTTGGAGACCCCTGATCTATAACCAGCCTATAAACATTAAGTGTTTATCAATGTGCAGTATTTTGAACAATTTGAACTTCTCCTATGAAGGCTTTTACACTGGACAAAAAGGACCTGTATCCGGAACCATCCAATGGTATACAAGTTTCTTCAAGATCTGTATATCTTTCAAAATACAATATGTCAAAAGATCCAGTCTGTAATCTTCTGCACACAGACTGTCTGTATACAAACGTATCACCGCCTTAGACAGTGACGTATTTTTGTGCATTGATTTCAGTTTATCTATATTTCATTATAACACAGCTGTGTTATATTGTCATTCATAATCTGTTTATATTCTAACATCCAGTTACAGTGTCGACCACTTCATAGAAAGTGGACTTTTTTTTATCCGTAAGCAGCCCTGAATATCTCTTTGGAAGTTCAGGTTAACAGCTGTTGGCAGAAATGTGCAGGTAGTGCTGAAAACCCCCAACCCCTGGATCTAGGGAAAGCTTTGCTTGAGGAGTTAAGAAGAGCAATCTGATCTCTTTTACATTATAGTGTATTATAAACCATCTATTAGATGTTTCTATACTGCTTATAAATTCTTAATGGGGGGTTAAAGGTATATAATATCTAGGGGATCTATAGATATATAGATATGGAATATAATATTCATAGGTATGGTATAAACACAGACAGAAGGGTTTATATTTGTCTCCTTAGTAACTTTTCTTGTATTTATTAACGTCCTCCTGCAGAAAGGGAAGCAGTATTATAACTTTGGTGAGGATGAGGAGTTCCAGTGCTACAGTGGATTTGAACTGGACGGTTTTCAGTTCATCAATTGTCTTCCTGATGGGACGTGGAGTCAGCCAAATGGAAGATGCATCAGTAAGCCTGTTTTCTTCATCACTCATTCTCCACAAACACAAGTAGCTGTTATCTTAAATATTTCTGCGACTGATATCTATGTCAGGTTAAAATCTGTCCTCCTGTGCCTTTAGTGAGACGGTGCCTTCCTCCTGAAATCCCTGATGGTATGAAGCTGTTACCCTACAAAGAACAGTACAAAGTCAGGGAATCAGTGAGCCTGAACTGTGACGAGACGGGCCTGGTGCTGTCTTCACAAAACTTCTACAAGTGCAGCGACAGTTTGACCTGGGAGCCTCCAATACCTGCTGACCTACAGTGCATTAATGGTATAGTAGATTGCTCTAGCAGTCATGGGAAAATAAACTTTGCACATCCAGTAGTACATTTCGGTGTGTCACAGAGGAAATCTTAAAGACAAGTAGATTCCAATGGTCCAAATGCCTCTACAGTTCCAAGTCACTGTGAATCTCCAGACACTTAACTGTCCAAAGCTGCGTCCACCTTTTAGTGACCAAATCAATTTGATTGGATTAAATCTCTCTTGATTATTGAATGAATTATTATATTTTGTTTCACTCAGAAAAATAACATTACAGAAGCACTCTAACTGCCATTCCATTGAGCCTTTAAGATGTGATATCACTAAAAAATTTTCACAAGGTCTCTCCAGTAAGACATGTATAGTGCTGCACTCAATTGTTCACATGAAGTGACAGAAGTAGCGAAACAAAGCAAGAGAGAGAAGTCGGATCATTATTTTTGGGAAATTACAGAAATGGTCATAAAGAGCTCCCATAAACGTTTATTTCAAACTTGCAAAATTGCAAAGGTGCTTGTTACTGTCCCCTGTGGCCTGAGATCAGAAAACAACCACTGAAACTACATTAGGTGAAAACTGCAGTTGTAGTGGGTGTTTTCCCCCGAAGGGCACAAGTGACAGCAGTGAGCTTGTTCCACACTCCAAAAAAAATGAAGACAAGACAAAAACCTGAGATTTATACTTCATCATCAGTGTTTCTTAACACCATGTTTTGCTCTTACGAGAGAGATAAGAAGGCTTTAAGGATGAGGACCAATTGGTTGGTTTGGAAAATGCACATCTGGTTCCCCTATTTCTGATAAGGAGCAGCACATAGCCATTTCCCATTAAAATAAGTTTTTCAATGGAAGCGTACAGGACGGTCCCAAATGGGCCTATGTTTTGTATGAAACATACAGCAAAGGTGTTTCTGTGTATTTCCTATATGTAGAGAACACGTTTGTTCCTGAGGGACAGTGCCGTCCAGGAGAGAGGCTACAGAACTCTCAGTGTGTCTGTATTCAACGGGAGAGCTGCCTGTAAGTTCTTATGAATGACTTTATTGTCGCTTTTCTTATTATCATTACATTTAAAAAAAAGTGAAGTTCTTATGTGAAGCACTTTCAGTTGCATTGTATCCATTAATTGTGGTATATAAAAAAAACTGTTTAATTTAAGTGAACTTAACGGAATACATTAGTTCTATTATTTTTACCAGCAGATGACTAACCTCTGTGTGTGTGTGTGTGTGTGTGTGTGTGTGTGTGTGTGTGTGTGTGTGTGTGTGTGTGTGTGTGTGTGTGTGTGCGTGCAGTTCACAGCCGGAGAGTCTCTGTATCCTGAACATAGACGTCGGTGTCACCATGTCAATGTCCCTCTGCTCCTTCCTTGCCGGCCGTTGCCACAATGATCCGCTCTTCTTTGTCAGCGAGGGCGTATGCGAGGAGGACAATTCAGCCCAACTGGAGTGGGCCAAGTTCAGAGCCCAAATGTCCTCTAAGAGCTCTGTGCAGGTGCCCTGCGAACATGACACCTGTTTTGAATGGGAGACCTGCTCTGGTGAGTTTGTCTGACATTTAACCATTTTTACATTCAGTTTGTTGTTTGATGTGGTTTAGCTTTAATGATTTAGTGCCTGTATAAAATATTTATTTTTTACTACCTGGGACTTATTTTTGCTGTTATTCTAATAGATTATGATAAGACTTTACTTCTCAGTTCAACCTCCTGAAAAGTGATTTACCCTTTAAAGTAAAAGGTTTATGGCTGCATCATTATAGGCTATAATTATAAAAATATTTCTCTAAATTTCAGTGACATATTTGGTATTTGTGGAACTTGTGGACAGATAGTGGAATCAATAGGAGATGGGAGTAGAGGACTTTAATTGCTGAAGACAGACAGATCTAGAGTTAAACCATATTATCTACATCATGTGAAAGCTTAAGTGAATATACTTTAAGGGGATAGTTTGACAATTTCGGAAATCTCAATTCTTGCTGAGAGTCAGACGAGAAGATCAGTACCACTCTCCAATCTGTCCATATAAAGCTTCAGCCAGGACTTGGTTAGCTCAGCTCAGCACAAAGAAGTGGGCGCAGTCACGCGATTATTTAGTATATGATATGTATAATTTCTAATCGATTATCAGTGTGTTTTCTTTCCAAATTCATGCCTCATGGAAAAAATAGATCAGATCCCAGAATGAACGTTCCAGAGCACGAGCCAATCACGGAGCTCTATGCTACAACGCACGCTGTGTGAACAGACCAACATTGGCGCCTAAAGGAAGCAGGCAGTCAGCCTTTTATCAGTTTGTCCCAGTGGCCACTCTTGGCATATGCACTCAACGAGCAATTAGTTTGGAGTTTGATATTCAGTTCTGATAATACATTTGTGGACTGGCCAAGGTTAGCATATGCTAAGCTAAGCTGTAGATTTTTATTGTACGGACATATTTGTGAAAGGTATCAATCTTCTAATCTAAGGCTCCAATAATATGGGTAAAATGAGTCTTTCTGAGCACTTGTATTGACTCAATATTTTAAATTGTGCTTAGCAAAATCATCCTGTTGTTGAAGAATCAGATTGTACAAAAAAATCCAAATGTTCCTTTACATTCTGAGAGTCCCATGATGATTTGCAGGAATGTCTCACTGCAATTATGTTGAAGTCGTCATCACTTTACTCTTCGGTGGTTGTATTTTGAGCTTACTGCTGCTCAAATGAATTCTTGATTCATCACATATCATTTTTAAAACTTCATTAGGCAACATAAAGAACACAAATTAGGTTGAATATTTGAAGACTTAACATATTGCATCAATTTATTTTTCTCTCATCTGTCCTCAGCATCGAAGAAGTGTGAGTGCAAAGCTGCTCGGGACTGCCCCAGATCTGAAGAGCGCATGTTCTGTGTGAAGCTGACCAGGAACCAGAGTACTCGTAGCATGAACCTTTGTTCTATGGCCGCCCTTAAATGTGCTAGTTATCAGTTTGAGATTCTCAATGAAGGCGTCTGTGAGTCCAGATGATCCCCCAAAAGCTTTTTCTCCGAATTCATCCAACAATACTATGTTTAAAATAATATTCAGCAGTCAGCCAGTTTAATTACAGCCAGTGTGAAATATTTACACATGCTTAATGTGCTTCACATGTAATAATAAAAACATAAAATCATAACATTGTCTGTTCTTTTATTTATTAGGGAAGTTTTCACTGCACCTCTGGTTCACCTTTTAGGAATGTAAGTCACAGTATCTAGTATATACATTTTTCAAACTTGAATTTGTATTATTTTATTTACAAATAAATAAAAGAATACATAATCCTTCCTTTTATTAGTTATGGCGATTCACTATCACTACACAGCATCCAAGTTTCACATCAACAATGACCTGTGCACCGCAGGCTGGGTGAGTCATTGGACTCATTTGAATAAATGCTTCCTTGTGTTGCTCAGCTTGAATTATTCTATACCACAACATGGTTGTCAGCAATATGCAGATAATTCTATACAGGATTTGGAAGATAAGAAAATATTGGGCTCTGAAATTAATTGAAATTCTGCGTTATGGCTGATTATGATGGGGCATTCCTGCATTGTAGCGCTAACGTTGACATTTGAATTCCAAATTTGAATGCTGCACAGGTCTATAAAACTGGTGCCCAGCCTTTTTCTTTAAAGGAATCCTTTTCCATTTTTGAGTTAACTCACAGCCCCTGACTAAATGTCACATTTTATGGATATTTCATATTATATTCGACGCATAACAATAACAGTACAGAACAACTGATAAACAGTACAATGAACCCAAATACTGAATGCAATAGCTGCAAGTTTGTGTAAAACGAGCGATTTGGATGAATTTTGAGCAGATCTATCCTGTGAATACTACATCAGAAATGAGTTTTCCTGATATTTGTAGTAAATGTAGATATACAATTCTCTGTCTGTATTATGTATTTTCATAATTCAATCATACTTAATAGAATATTTTTTTTCTTCTCCCTGACCCTCTTGTTCTATTAGCTATCTTTGTTGTTTTAACTGAATGCTTTTCTAATGCAGGACGATGCTGTTTAGTAGGAAGTGAAGGCTCTGTGAATATAGCGCGTGTTCAGGTTTATATCTTAAATAATAATCTAAACTTTAAATATAACAATTCAATTTAGCTGTCTTCGCAGAAATTAATGAAATACTGAGATATAGGCATATTTTCCTTAAAGTCAAGAAATCCTTGCGACCCCCCGTGAAGCTTTGGCGACCACTAGTGGGGGTCCCGACCCCCAGGCTGGGAACCACTGCTATAAAAACATAACAGCTGGGCTACATCCCTGTCTCTGCCTGTCTCCTCTGCTCTCTGATAAATGCATAAAGAGAGACATTTTTGACTCTATAATGAATGTAAAGTATCTTAAAATAAACATATTTATTTTTTAATTACTGGTAAGTATGAATCTGATGGGAGACCAAGTATTTAGAGAATGTACCCCTTCCAATATCTTATATGTTAACAAAATCAAAATGATAAAAGTGTATTCTGAAAAGTGTTTTTCTTATTAACGTATAAACAAAAACAAGATACAATAAAGGCATTTATTTAGGAAAAAATATATTACACGCAACGTGACAAAAAAGACACCACAGGATGGCAGAGGAACATATTAACATCATTCAGGTACTTGTTTCTATTTACAATTCAGTCACTGAGAAAACACAACTTCCTCCTTTTAATACAATGTGAGACAGCTCAGTAAAATAAAACAACAATCATCTTTATTCTGGACAAGCCTCAATACTGATCACATTGAGCTGCTCCCCAGCACACCTTCTGGCCCCAACCTCGCATTCGGTCATCGTCTTGGCAACGCTGCCGGCCCCAGAGCTGACACACAGGGGGGCGGAGTCTTTAGGACATTCTGACACGTTCTGGCACACGCATCTGCTTGTCGATTCTAGGATTTAAAAATAACGATTATATATACTGATGCAGTCACAAACATGCTCATATTACGGAATTGAAGGATTCTTCTCTTTTCTTCTCAAAACTTAAGTTGGAATAAATAAGACTGTCTTCTAAAAGATGTCCAGCAGACTCACCCTGACAGATTGTCCCTGGTTTGCAGTCCTCGCAGGACGTGGACGTCTGGTCTGGCCAGTTACAGTCGCTGTCACTGGCCAATGTGAAGCTCCGGCCCATACACTTCAGAGCTCCTAGCTGACAAACTCCAAGTAAACGGGTTCTGCTTGAGCCAAGTCTGGCACACAACTGCAGAGACGTCCTAAATAGAGACAATATATGGACATATTATTTAATTTTTACTTTAAAACTGTGTGTAATGCAGAAATAATGATAATTTAATGAATATGAAAAATACTCACAAGCACTGAAATGGCATCTTACATACACAGTCAGTTTTTCCTACAGTCTCCCATAGCTTACACTTCAGGCCAGGTGGAGGAGCGGGAGCTGTGGGTGCTAAGAAGAAAATAAAGGAAGCAGGATTGGTGTGTATACTCCACAGAAACACAAAATCATATGCATATGACAGTGTGACAAACCCACAACAAAATATAACCCGACTCCGCCACTATCACTATCGACTGAGCTTTATAGCAACTTTCAGTTCATTGTTTTGGTTGTTTTGGTTTGGCCCACATCTTAATTGTTTTGGTTCACTCTCATAGCGTCATTTTTAGCCACAATAAGCAGCTGTTTACAGAATTTTTTTTCTAAAAAACGACTTTACGCTACCTAGACAAGTTAGCAACTAGCTGGTTGGTAACTTAGTTGAGCATTTAACAGATAAAGAGCCCCTCTGGAGTTGGTGGAGACCAAAAACAGAGCTCAAAGAGAGTGAATATTGGCCTTATACTCAAATAGGAAAATGTGTGTGAGCAGCTTTAAACAATCACATTTGATAGTGAGGAAAAGAGAACTGTACCGGCTTTACAATGAGCGCTGGCTGGAGAAGGAGACCACTGCAGACTGGAGCTGCACATGATGTCTGACAGCTCACTTTCCAGCACTGACCCGGCAGGACAGGACAGGGACACTCTGTCTCCAATCTCATAGGTTGCTTTGGTGGGCGTGGCGATAACGTCACTATTCAGCGAAGGAACCCCACATGTGGAACCTGGGACAAGGAGAAAGGGATTTTGAGTAAGACAAAGTAGGAAATCTGATATCCTGTCAATGAACAAACAATGGAACCAATACATAACCACCCTGGCAGAGTAATGAAGTGGAGACGTACTTTTACAAACCATCGCTCCTGTCCTCCACACCTGGTTCTCAGTGCATTCAGCCATAGCGTTTCCACTGAGGTAATGACCGTCTATGCAGGAGTACTCCACTGTGTTTCCAACCAGGTAAAAATCTCTGGGGTTCTGAGAATAAAATACAGTAACATGCACTTCATTATCCCCTCCACACAGTAACTAAAACAACACAGAAACTCCAGAACCATTAAAGAAAATATTATTTTTCCAACTATCTACAATTTTAAAACATTTTCTGTCACTTTTTTGGACAAAAACAGAAACACAACATCAGTCAATCAAACTCACCTGAATAAATCCATTCCTGAGGTTTGGAGGCGGTCCACATGTCTTTGGTGGAGTCACAGAGAGACTAAAGCACTGAGGCTCCATCATCCTGCACACAAACAGTTTACAGTTTATGATGGACTAATTTTCACTGTTTTATGAGGACATGATCATTAAATGCCCAGTGTGTAAGAATTAGTGACATCTAGTGGTGTAGTTACACATTGCAGCTTCCCCCTCCCTTTTCAAGCGTGTGGGGGAGAAACCACGGCAGCAACGAAACACGTGAAAAATGTGAACGACTATCTACAGCCAGTGTTTGGTTTGATTACAAATTTAGGGTTAAGACTTTGTTGAGGTTAATAAGGGACGTGGTTAGAGTAGATCTCTGTTCTACTGCTACAATGTGTGTACATGTGTCCTTACTTTAAATACTCCATGTCTGCGTCTTCACAAGGCTTCTGTTCCACCTCCGGGCCTGAGCAGTGGTGACCCCCTCTGCTGGGGGCGGGATTGTTGCAACTTCGGATCCTTGACCTTTGACCTTCAGAGCAGGATCCCCAAGAAGACCAGCAGCTCCAGCTGCCATGGATCACCCCTGAGAGAGAAAAAGAGAAATTCTCTTTGTTGTTCTGTCTTGTTTGTGAAAGAGTTTGTGAGTTTGAACCTTTTTTTATTGCTTTTGTGGTAAATCATAAAGAACTTTTCATTAAGTGTAACATATAATAAATGAAAGGGGTTTAGAACAACGTGGTGACGCTTTCTTTAAATTTGTATTAAATCCTACAAAGTGTTGGCCTTATTATTCTAAAACTATTAACTCCAATGTAAACTCTCCAACTCTAGTATCGGTGCTTAGTTTTAACTTGACAAGTTTAGTTGTAGTTTAGATAGTTCTTAAGGTGCCGATGCTGAAAGAAAAGTATCAAAATTACATTGTAGTATTTATTGTGTGTGGCTGTCTACTTAGATTAAAGATTATGGCTCTATTTAGGGCTAAGTTTTTGACATTTTTTATGACACTACCATCTGAATTGAATCTGAAATTAAATTAAATCCTGTTTTAGCATTTTGAACCCAAACTAAACATTTTAACCAATCCATTACCCCTTCAGAATCATCGTTTGTTTACCTGGTTGTTCTCCAATCACAGCGCCCCTCTCACAGGCTTGTCCCGTCGTTCCCGGCCGGCAGACGCAGCGACACTCGGAGCCCGTCAGCAGTGGCTGGCCGTTGTTCTGGCAGGGCCGGCAGTGACAGGGATGCTCCTCCGCCAGGTACTCCTCTGTGGCTCTCTTCAGGTGGAGCTTCTTCAAACCTGCACACTGCACTTCCTTCACCAGCTCGTACAGAGGACGCAGCTGGAAAACAAGTTTACGGTTCATTAACGCACACATATAGAACAGGAAGGAATACGAAGAATACTAGACAGTGGAAAAACATTTGAAATCCAAAACATATGACAAACAAAATAATAATTCAGGCACAATAATTAAAATAAGAACATAAATATATTTAAAAATGTATTATATTACCATCATTATTGGAAAAACTAATAGAAAAACAACTATATCTTTTACCACTCACAGGACATGCAAACATTAGGATGCCTGGCTAACTAGCTTACTAC